ATGATGAGATTTTTACATAGCTATGAAAAATCTGGAAATCTATCTTGTGTAAAAGAGGAGTACATAGGATCAAGAATTAAGTCATTTAGTTTAGTATAACTCAAGATATGAATTTTTAAAGTTTATCATGCAAGCTGAATTTTATGTACTTGTTTCCAGCAGCAACTTTAAACTTGAATAAGTCGAGATACATGCATGATAAAATTATGAAATTTTTATAACATGTTTAATTATTAAGTTGAGATTAAGACTGTTAAGTTTCATAATTTAAAGATGAGAAATGAATAAGTTACGAATATAAGAAGGCATATATGTAAAGATAAGTATATATATGCAAGAATATTCAGGAAATGTTTAAGTTGTTAAAATGAGATGATCATGAGTAATTCTCATATAAGTGATGAGTAATTTGATGAAGTTTTGGTATAATATGTTGAATATACAATTTTATAAAGATTGTATTAAGTATGACATATTAACATCATGATTAAATGTTATGAGTAAAAGATGATTATGGCTTGAGATTATTTTCACTTTCAAGTTAATTAAGTGAAAATCTAGTATAAGCCAATATCTAAAAATTTAGAGATATGATGTATGATGAATTAAGTATTTGATCAAGTTAAATTAAGATAAGTTATAAATCATGTTGATGATGTTGGTAAAAGTAAGCAAGTTTTAAGTTTAAATACTCAATCAAGTATAATGTGAAATATAGTTATTTTCACATTTGAGTTATGCCATGCTAAGTATAATACCATATTGATGTTTATGAAGACATGATTTATATAAGGTTTAATAATTGACCTTAAGTAAAAGTAAAAAGAGAAGTTAAGTATAAACTTGAGAAAAAGCAAGTTTAATGAATTTCTATAAGATTTGGATAAGTTAATAATTCTAAAAATCTTATTGAATATACGAGCATAGTACTTAGTATATTTGTTTATATTTTTATGTAGCTTGCAGATATAGCTACCAAAGAGCAACACTTACATTTTTCAAAAGTTTTCAAAAGAAGAAAGGTGGGGACCCAGACTGGGTATTACATTGAGTATAATATTGATATCATGTTCGAGGTATGTATACAGTTTAAGTTTATACGCTTGGGATGAAGGCTCCTAGTTGCCTTATCAGTACATCCTAAGTTCTGATGGAGGCCATTAGTTGCCTTAGAAATATCCATCAGATTGTGCACAAGTATCCGATTAGATATCGGCCAGATTCAGTTTAAGTTACTGGAA